GAGACCATCCTGGCTAACACGGTGAAACCCCGTCTCTACTAAAAATGCAAAAAATTAGCCGGGCGAGGCGGCGGGCGCCTGTAGTCCCAGCTACTCGGGAGGCTGAGGCAGGAGAATGGCGTGAACCTGGGAGGCGGAGCTTGCAGTGAGCCGAGATCGCGCCACTGCACTGCAGCCTGGGCGACTAAGCGAGACTCTGTCTCAAAAAAAAAAAAAAAAAAAAAAAATAAGGCCTCTGGTTGACTTTTTTTTTTTTTAACAGCTCTGTTAAGGTGCAGTTTACATGTAATATAATCTGTTCATTTAAATGCAGTTTGATGACTTTTGGCAAATGCATGTAGTTCTGTAACTACCATTTCACCCAAGCAGTGTAACATTTCCATTACTGCACAAAGTACCCTCTTGCTCATTTGCAGTCATCCCCTCCCGCTACCCCCCGTCCTAGAAAACCTCTGGTCTGCTTTCTGTCGCTGTTGTTTTATGGCTTCTAGTATTTCATGTAATTGCAATAATGCAGAATTTATCCATTCATTAGTTGATAGACATTAATCCTCTTACCAACTGATGGACATTTAAATTATTTCTGATATTTTGCTATTACAAGTAATACTGCTATGAACATTCTTACAGAAGTCTTTTTGTGGACATATATTTTCGTTTTTCTTGGGTAGATACCTAGGAGTGGAATTGCGGGCTTATATGGTAAGTGTATGTTTTTAATGAAACAGCCGAATTGTTTTCCAAAGTGGCTGTACTATTTTGTATTCCCACTGGCAGTGTATGAGCATTCCAGCTGCTCCATATCCTCACCAGCACTTGGTATTTTTGTCAGTCTTTAATTTTAGTCATCCTACTGGGTGTATATCTCGTTGTAGATTTTAGTTTTAATTTCCCTGATGACTAGTGATGCTGAGCATCTTTTCATGTGCTTACAGGCCATTTGTACATATTCCTTTGTGAAGTTTCTGTTCAAATCTATTTTTTTTTATTGCGCTGTCTGTCATCTTTGGTTGCGACAGTTCTTTATATATCCCAGATATAATTGCTTTGTCAGATATTTTGATGTTGTTTTCTTCCAGTCTGTGGTTTGTTTTTTCTTTTTTTTACAACATTATCTTTTGAAGAGCAAAAGCCTTGAATTTTGAGGTAGTCCAGTTTATCAGTATTTGTCTTAATGATTCATGCTGTTCGTCCTATCTTAAATTTTTGCCTAAATCAAGGTTATGAAGATATTCTATTTTTTTCTTCCAAAAGGTTTGTAGTTTTAGCTCTCTTACTTTAGATTTATGATCTATTTATTTTTTATATGGTATGATATGTAGTCAAAGTTTGTTTATAAATACCCAGTTTTTAAACATCATGTTGAAAAGACCATCCTTTTCCTCCATAGAATTTCCTCTACATCTTGAGGTATTTTAAATGTTGAAAATACTCTATAAGTATGGGTCTACTTTCAGAATCTATCTTCTATTTTATTGATTTTTACCAGGGTCAGAAAACTAAGGCCTATGTGCTAAATCTGGCTTTATATAAATAAAACTTTATTAGCACATGGCCATGCCCATTCATGCAGGTATCATCTATGACTGCAACTGCAGAGACAGATTTCAGTAGTTGCAACAGAGACTGTGTGGCCTACAAAGGTGAAAATATTACTGTTTGGCCCTTTGCAGAAAAAGATTGCCAACTCCTTATCTATTTTCTTATGCCAGTACTCTACTGTCTTGTTTACTGTAGCTTTATAATACATCTTGAAATCAGGTTGCATAAGTCCCCCAACTTTGTTCTCTTTTTTTTTTTCCCTTAAAGACGGCATCTCACCCCGTCTTCCAGGCTGAAGTGAGTGGCTTGATCATGGTTCACTGCAGCCTCGACCTCTTGGGCTCAAGTGATCCTCCTGCCTCAGTCTCTGAAATAGCTGGACTACAGGCATGTGCCACTGTACCTGGCTAATTTTTTTCTTGTTTTCTTTTCTTTTCTTTTCTTTTTTCCTGAGACAGGGTCTTACTCTGTCACCCAGGCTGTAGTGCAGTGGTGCCATCATGGCTCACTGCAGCCTTGACCTCCCAGACTCAGGTGATCCTCCCACCTCAGGTTTCTGAGTAGCTCGGACTATAGGCACATGCCATCACACCAAGCTAATTTTTGTATTTCATGTAGAGTAAGGATTTTGCCATGTTGCCCAGGCTGGGCTCCAGTGATCCATCCACAGCCACCCAAGTGCTGGGATTACAGGCATGAGCCACTGTGCCTGGCCATTTTAAAATGTTTTATTGAGATAGGGTCTCACTGTGTTGTCCAGGCTTGTCTCAAACAGGCAATTCTCCTGCTTCGGCTCCCAAGTGCCACGTTGTGAAAATCATTGAGAAACAGGAAATGAAGGTGGCTTGTCCAATCTGATTCTAAGGCCTGAGGAATTGTACAGTGGCCAATAGTCACACACATCCCATTAGTAACTACTTATTTAGGAATGAAATAAACACATTACTTTTTTTTTCAATTTATGTGTAGTTTTTTTTTTTAATGGTCACTAAATTTGTTAGAAGACAAATACTTAACAGTCAGTAAATCCTTACTTAACATCATAGAGCAGTTGTTAGAAACTGCAACTTTAAGTGAAAGGACTTACAGCAGGTTGAAAGAAATAACACCTCATGATCCACCCACCTCGGCCTCCTAAAGTGCTAGGATTACAGGCATGAGCCACCGCACCTGGCTCCCCTTTTTTTTTCTTTCTTTTGAATCGTGTTTGAAATCTTTCTTGGATTTAACCTTTCCTTTTTTTCTGTAGTCACATGCCAGTCTTGAATGACTACAGTAGCATCTCTGGGGTTTTCAGTTATGGCAGGAGATGAAGGATATCTTTTGAATGCCTGTCTTGTTCTAAATATATCTCCTATTTCTCAGTAGCCCTGGAGTTACAAGCATAAGCCACCATGTCCAGCCTGTTCTGCTTTTTACATATGGGCTATTACAGGACCTTTGTATTTCTGTGTACATTTTAGAATTATTTTGTCAATGTGTACAAAAGCCTACTGGGATTTTATAGGTATTGCATTGTAACTATAGTTAATTTGGGGGGAATTAATAGTGTAAAAATACTAAGTTTCTAGTCCATGAACATGTTATATGTCTCCATTTGTTTATGCTCTTTTTAATGCATTATTTTGTTTAGTGTAGAGGCTTTGCACATCTTTTGTACATTTATTCCTAAACATTTTATCTATTGATTTTACTCTAAGTAGAATTACTAAAAATATCATTTTCCAATTATTTATTGTATGTACAAATACAGTTGATTTTACATATTGATCTTGTATACTGCAACCTGACTAAATTATTTACACTCATTTTACAAAAAAAAACCTCCTATTTTTTTTTCGAGACGGAGTCTCACTGTGTCACCCAGGCTGGAGTGCAATGGCGCGATCTCGGCTCACTGTAACCTCTACCTCCCAGGTTCAAGCAATTCTTTCTGCCTCAGCCTCCTGAGTAGCTGGGACTACAGGCGTGTGCCACCACGGTTGGCTAATTTTTTTGTATATTTAGTAGAGACGGGATTTTACCATGTTAGCCAGGATGGTCTCTATCTCCTAACCTTGTGATCCACCTGCCTCGGGCTCCCAGAGTGCTGGGATTACAGGCATGAGCCACTGTGCCCGGCCATTTTCCTAGTTTTTATAGATTTTTTGGGATATTTCACATTCGTCCTCATACCATTGTGAATAAAGATTGTTTTACTTCCTTTCCAATCTACCTTAATTTTGCCTTGATCCACTGGCTATTTTGAATGGAAGTGTTGAGAGCAGACATCATTGCCTTATTATTATTGGATCTCATTATGATCTTCAGTAGAATCATTTAGTTTTTCACCATTAAGGGTCACAGTAGGTTTTTTTTTAGGTGCCTTTTACAAGGTTAAAAAAGTTCCTTTTTATTCTTTAGTTTCTGAGATTTAAAAAAAATCATGAATGACTTGGATTTTGTAAAATATTTCTTCTGCATCAATTGAAATTATCATATTTCTTTTTCTCCTTTATTAAAAGGTAAATTACATTTATTGATTTTTGGATGTTGAACTGCATTTGGTTTTTGGATGCTAAAGTGACTTTTTTTTGTGATAAAGTCCATTTGATCAGGTTTTATTTTTTAATATTGGGTTTGACTTGCTATAAGCTAAGGCTTTTGCATCAATATTTATGAGGGATAAGGTCTCTAGTTTTTTTTTGTGAAATCCTTGTTTTTGGTATAAGAATAATACTGGCTCTGTAAAACAAGTTAGGAAATGTTTCTTTGTATTTTGAAAGAGTTTATACAGGACATACTTTTATAAAAAAAATCTTAAATGATAGAATTCACATTTTTCTTTTTTTAAGGAGACTTTTTGGCCAGGCACGATGGCTCATGCCTGTAATCCCAGCACTTTGGGAGGCCAAAGTGGGTGGATCACGAGGTCAGGAGTTCAAGACCAGCCTGACCAACATGGTGAAACCCCATCTGTACTGAAAATACAAAAATTAGCCAGGCATGGTGGTGCGCACCTGTAATCCCAGCTACTCAGGAGGCTGAGGCAGGAGAATCGCTTGAACCCAGGAGGCAGAGGTTGGAGTGAGCCAAGATTGCGCCATTGCACCCCAGCCTGGGCAAAACTGTGTCTCAAAAAAAAAAAAAAAAAAAAAAAAGAAGACTTTTTATTCATAGCTAAGTTGTAAGAGATTCACAGTTTACCCTAAATTAACTCAGTGAGAATGATGTACTTTTCTTGGCACAAATAAATTTGAAAATACATTGGCTTTATCCTGCTTTCTGATTTTGTTATATGTGGAGGATACATTTATGAGAAGTTGAGAGCCAGCTTTTCTAACTGTATTTCCAATTGCATTCCAACTTCATAATAGGAAATAATTTTATTGTTATATTTTGACTAAATGTTTAATAGTACTGTACTTATGAAATATTTTATTGCTTTGCTTATTCATCTTTGTTTTTGTTAATTTTAGGAACTTAAAAGGAGTCTAGAAAATCAAGCAGAAAGGAAAATGGAAGGTCAGAATTTTCAGAGTCCTCAATGTCTCAACACATGCTCAGAGCAAAATGGTTATGTTCTAACACTATCAAATGCACAACCAGTTCTGCAATATGGTAATCCTTATGCATCTCAGGAAACAAGAGGTTATTACAGTATTTTTGGTTTGGGGTTAGCTGCATCTGGAGTTTTTTTATGGTTTATATTTTCATAGATTAGCAAACTGCTGGTATAATCAACTCTAATACAAACATTATTTTATTTGTATAATTAGCAGTTTTAATATTTAACAGTGTAACTGGCCTCATCTATAAGTGATGCACCATGAGATGAGTAGTTTATTTGCTTATTACATATAGTTCACAATTTAAAAAATCACCTGGGTTAAAAATAAAAACATCTATTTTTTTCATGTACCAAAGTGGTTCTTTATATACTGTTCATCATGTCTATACATACAGATGTTAATTTTAGTAACCGGTTTCACTTTACCCTTCCAAAAATTTTATTACAGATGGAGCAGATGGTGCTTTTTACCCAGATGAAATACAAAGGCCACCTGTGAGAGTCCCTGCTTGGGGACTAGAAGACAATGTTGTCTGCAGCCAGCCTGCTCGAAACCTTAGTCGACCTGATGGCTTAGAGGACCCTGAGGATAGCAAAGTAATTTTGAATTTTCATTGTGTGAGCCTGTCCCTTTTTTATTTTTTAGCTTATGTAGAGAGTTAAGGGTATGTGTGCATATGTGTATCTTTGTGTGTGCATGTGTGTGTGTGGAAGGAGAGTGTGTACTTGTGCCTGCACACAATTGCCTACTTGATTTTTGGAAAAACCTGCTTGTATTTAAATTAGAAAAAAATCTACCAGTATGCTTCAGACTTATACTTTAGGAGTTATATACTAAAGTAAAAGATTAAGTTTAGGGAATAATCTCAGAATATTGTAGTTATCAGATAGTTTAATCTTAAACATCACTAAGTAACTTACTATATTCTTTTGATTATAGATGTACTAGGCTTGAAGCAGCAAAGTGTTAATGGCAATATTATGTTTCCTTACAGCAGCTCTTTTTGGATAATAGTTTCTTTTCTTCATAGAAGCTCTTTTTGGATTTCCTGTGCATTAAGATGAATTTAAAAGAAATACTTTATCGTGCTCTTTGCAAGTACAGTGGTATCATGACCTGTTTCTTATTTAATCTAGTTTGCTGCATTTAATTGCTATTAACCTTTGCAGAAACTGATCAGTGTTCAGACAGGCATGATTTTAGCCCTAGTGCTCAACACCCATAATGGAGAAAAATGTATTTCTCCCTCCTGCCTTTTGGCCTCCTATGTCCATTACTGGGAATAATTAGGAAAACTGTCAGAACTTTTGTAGCCTATTTAAGGTCTAGAGTATCATCTTACTGCTTTTTCACACCTTTACCTCACATTTTGCATATTTAATCTGATCATTCTTGGCACAGATGTTACATGTGACAAGACTTTCTCTTCTGTAGTCATCTGCTTCAGTTTAATTAGCAGAATGTTCTTTCTGATCTGTGTGCTTTGCCCTCCTGCAAACCCATGAGAAGCAGTGTTAGAGTCTTGTGCTCATTTGCTGACATGCTTAGATTTGGTAATGAGATGGAGGACTTTTAATATGCACACCTTGAGTAACTTTATTTTGCAGTCAGAAGATTTTTCACATTAGAAAGTAATTCTTATGTATATTCAGAATTTTAAAAAATTATTGTCATTACAACAATAAAAAATCACTTGCAAATGAAGTGTTTTAGTAAGTAAGTTTAGTAAGAATATGGAAAGCAAATTTGAGTTAATCTGTTCTTTCTTTCTGTTTCTCTGCCCTGGGAGTGATTAATAGCCACAGGCCCCAGCACTTTTGAGTCAGGGTTGAGGTGACCTACCTACTCTTTCAGCCTACCCTGGTGCCTACACCTGCCATGTCTCCTCTCTTCTGCACCAGAAACTGTGGTCAATTGTCAGATCAAAAACCTTTTGTGGCTCCCATTTACCTAACTTTAACATCATAATTATGACAGCAGCAAACATAATGCTGAGCTCTTTAGATAGAGTCACTTATTGGTTCTTCATAGCAGTTCTTCATAGCAGTCCTGTCACAACTTTATAATGGAGGAAACCGAGAGACAGATTAAATAGCTTGCCCCAAATCACATAGCTGCTGTAGGTAGAGACAGGATTGAACCTCATGAGATTGGCTATAAAAGCTGTGGTCTTAGCTACCTGTCAAATGGACTAAACCAGAGGTTTTCCTACTTTCTTAGTTCATGGCACCCTTAGCATGTCAGTAATTTTTTTTTCACAGTAACTCCTACGCCAAAAGGAGGACAGTAAGTCCTCACTTAATGTCATATGTAAGTTACTGGAAATTGTGACTTTAAACCAAATGATGTATAACAAAACTAGTTTTTTCCCTCATCAGCGTTATAATGAACCGACAAAAGAAATGATGTTACTTCTTTCAACCTGCTGTAAGTCCTTCATTTAAAGTTGCAGTTCCTAAGAACTGCTCTATGATGTTAAGTAAGGACTTACTGACAGTTAAGTATTTGTCTTCTAACAAATTTAGTGACTATTAAAAAAAAAACTACACCTAAATTGAAAGAAAATTAATGTGTTTATTTCATTCCTAAATAAGTAGTTACTAATGGGATGTGTGTGACTATTGGCCACTATACAAATCCTCAAGCCTTAGAATCAGATTGGACAAGCCACCTTCATTTCCTGTTTCTCAATGATTTTCACAATGTGGCACTTACTTTATATCACAGCAGCTGCCAAAACCAGCATCTCAAAGATAAGATGACATTGAAAGGAATGGGTAGCACTATTCAAAGTTGAATCTGTGAGCCGTCTCCAACGATTCTAGTTGTTCACGTGGTATATGACAAATCCACATGCTCCTCAACTTACAATGGTGTTACATCCTGATAAACCCATCATAAGTTGAATATGTGTTTTTGACTTGAAGAATATTTTCAGCTTACAGTGGGTTCATCGGAACGTAACTCCATCATAAGTTGAGGAACGAACTGAATGTGTATTGCTTTTGTGCCATCTTAAAGTTCAAAAATTGTAAGTCTAGCCATTGTGTGTTGGAGGCCAACTCTAATGAGTATTTCTGTGTACTTCTGCATATATAATATCTTTAGAAAATTTAACTTATCCCACAGTAATCCTCGGAATTTACTGTGGTGCCCTAGGTACTTTCATACCTCATTTTGGGAACTATGGGTCTAAATCGTTGCTTCTCAAAAAAGTGGTTTGTAGACCAGCAGTAGTGGTATCTCCTAGGAGTATGTTGGAAATACAGAATCTCCTGCCCCACTCCAGCCCTACTGAGAATCAGACGGCATTTAACAAAATCTTTAGGCGATCATATGATTTTTAACATTTGGGTTACACTATTTTAAAACTTCCTAACCCTAATTGTTCAAGGCCAGATTATTTTCTCTTCCCTTAATTCATATCTTACTTTCTAGTTGTGTTCTTGCATTTCTTAGTGTTTCTCTTCTACTTTCATTCCTTTCTCCTCTGTCTCTTAAAGATGAAAGCCCACACATTCTATTAATATGTGGCTTATTTGAAACTTTCCACATGAACCCTTCACTGTGAACCCCTAAACTGAAGACATTTTTTGTTGATAGACAGTTTTTTCTTTTTTCTGGTGAGTTGTAGCTTTTATTCTCAGAAGGGTCTGTGACTCCAAAATGATTGAGAACCAGTGCTTGAGAGAGTCAAGGCCTGTTTCCCATTTATCATGATGCACTGTTTGAGTTTTTGCCTTTCTCAAATTTGCCATTTTTCGTGTATTATCTTACGTTTTAAATTTAATTTTAATGTGTTTTCTGTTCGCAAAAATAGTGTGTGGTTACAGTCAATTTCATCTTTATCAAGAGTGCCAAGACAGTTCAAGAGGAAAAGAATAGTGTTTGCAACAAATGGTACTGGGAAAATTGTATATCCAGTTCGATGAAAGAGTGAAATTAGACCCTTGACTCATATCCTGTGCAGAAATTAACTCAAAACTGGATTTTAAATGTAAGAGCTAAACTACAAAACTCAAAACATATAGATAAATCTTTATAACTTGGATTAGGCAGTAGTTTCTTAGATATGACACCAACAGCATAAGCAACAAAGAAAAAATAGATATAGGTTGACTATCCCTTATCCAAAATGCTTGGGACCAGAAATATTTCAAATTTCAGATTTTTTCAGATTTTGGAATATTTGCATTATACTTACCAGTTGAGCACTTCTAATCTGAAAATCCAAAGTCCACAGTGCTTCAGTGAGCATTTCCTTTAAGTGTCATCTCAGTGCTTAAAAAGTTTTAGATTTTGGAGCATTTTGCTTTTCAGATTTTTGGATTAAAGATATTCAGCCTGTAATTGAATATGCCATCAGAACGATTAAATGAATCTTTGCTGTTCCATTTAAAATTTTTTACACACAGTTATTTCCAACAGATAATATATAGCTGGTTGGCATCTCTTAATGCTGAATATTCCCTTTTCTATACCATATTAGTATAATACCTTTTATATAGTAGAGGCTTTTTAAATGTTATTAATGAATTTAGTTTAAAGAAATGTGTTTGTTCCATTTTTGCCTATTAAACTATTTAAAATTCAGGCCATCTTAGAAAAGTAATTGTTGGGCTGGATATGGTTGCTCACGCCTGTAATGCCAGCACTTTGGGAGGTCTAGGCAGGCAGATCACTTGAGGCCAGGAGTTTGAGACCAGCCTGGCCACATGGCAAAACCCCATCTCTACTAAAAATACAAAAAAAATTTAGCTGGACATGGTGGCACATGCCAGTAATCCCAGCTGCTTGGGAGGCTGAGGCATGAGAATTGTTTGTATCTGAGAGACAGAGTTTGAAGTGAGCCAAGATTGTGCCACTACACTCCAGCCTGGACAACAGAGCAAGACTCTGTCTCAAAAAAAAAAAAGAAAAGTAGTTAATTTTTTGTGGTAGCTTTATTGAGATATAATTTACATATTGTACAATTAGCCATTTAAAGTATACAATTTAGTGGTTTTTAATATATTCACAGAGTTGTGTAACCATCACCATATTCAATTTTAGAACATTTTCCTCATTACCAAAAGAAACCCTGTACCTTGTAGCAGTTAACCTCTTCCCATTTATTCCCACCAGCCCAGGAAACCCTCAGTCCACTTTGTTTCTCTATAGATTTGTCTGTTCTGCACAGTCATGATTTTATTGATATAAGTCAAATCATAAAATTGTTATCTTTTGTGACTGGTTTCTTTCACTTAGTATGTTTTCAAAGTTACCCATGTTTTAGCATGCATCCATGTTCAACATGAAGAATGGGTTTTATTCTTGTTTGTTGGTTTGGATGTATAGATTGAGCGTCCAAAACCCGAAACTGAGTGCTGACATGATACTCAAAGGAAATGCTTACTGGAGCATTTTGGATTTTCAAATTTGGGATGCTCAGCTGGCAAGCATAATCAAGTATTACAAAATCTGAGAAAGTCTGAAATCTGAAACACTTCTGGTCCCAAGCATTTTGGGTAAGGGAGACTCAACCTGTCCCACATTTTGTTTACCCATTCATCTGTTAGACATTTGGGTTATTTCACCTTTTGGTTATGGCATACAT